AAAAAAAATTAAAGAATAAGTTTGCTTCTAATTCGGTCTCCTGTTGTTGTTATTCAGCCTTCTTATTGGACTTTTCTTAATAACTAAATTTATTTAAATGACTAAAATTCTCACAGGTTGTTTTATCACAATTCACTTAAGGTAAGGCACCATGGATTATGTATGAAAAATATATTAAGTGTTGCTTATAATAGTTATAAGCTATCATGAATTATAAGTGGCATTCCAGTGTCAGTGATGTTAAAATATTAGGGAAAAGAATATCTAAGACTCTGAAAAACAGAGTACTTAAAAGACATATGCCAAATCATTATAGTTGCACAATTTTATACTTGAAATATTACCTTTGTTAATTAGTGTAGTATGAATTATGTGGACAAGTGCATGGAGTACTGAGTAAATGGCATATGTTAAAGGTGCCTGAGTGGCAAACTACTCCCCTCATGCTAGGCAAGTAGCAAACCACTTATCCCATAGGCACGGCCCTGGGTGTGAGACCACTTTTTGTGGTCTCAGTGCTTGATGCATAGTCTGCTCCTCAATTGGTTGCCACAGGGACAGTTGGCCAGAAATTGTATTGGTGGTTGCCTATAATCTGCTTAGTTACTGTCTGCGTATATATACATGGTAACTACGCAATAAAATCAGACCTGCTTCCAGCTTGGTCTTCGGAGGTCTTGATTTGTGACTCTGCAGCCACATTCTCCTCTACCTTGTTCCATGGACCTCCTTGCTGGATGAGAGAGAGGCCATGCAGCTGGTGCCTGAACAGGGACTTGAGGTAAGCCTATAAAAAAGGGTGTGGCACCTCACAAGTGTGGAAATGAGAAATCTACCAAGGGGAAATGAGAAATGAAGGGGAAATGAGAAATCTACCAAGTTCTACCAAAGACACGCAGCTGTGAGTGCTGCCCACCCTCTTAGATACTAGAGGTTTAACCCTGAATAAGAGAGAAGCCAAGAAGTTTTGGGACATAGTAATAGACACTAGCCCCTGGATTAGTGCCGCTGATGTTTTTGATTCTGTGATATGGGACAAGATAATGGCAAATGTTTGGCAAGCTGAAGTGAGTCATAGATATTTGTCATTCAGCAAAGTTTAGGTGGCCCTACAACAGACCCTTCTCATATAATGATGGCTCTGAGGGAAGACAAGCCTATGAGAGATAGACAAGGGGAAAAAGGCGGGCGTGAAAATCTACTTCAAAGCAAGCAAATACAACAGGTGCAGGAGGGAGAGAGACAGGAAGCAGTATGCTAGCTTTCATGGTGCAGGAATTGGTGACCATAAATGGCATAAGTGTGCCTTTACTGAGAGGCAAAGAGTATGTTTTTCCCTGAGTCAATGGCAACTGCTTCCTTATGAGGCAATGCCAAAGCCAGCAAGGGACTATGACAGCTAAGAAATGACCAGGCCGCTGGACAGGCCCAAGCCATGGTCTGCAAGAATCCCATTCCAAGAGGCCAGAGATCCTTTTGAAGATCTATATAAGAGATGAAAAGTAGGGTAGGGTAAGGATTCTCTTACCCAAGTCTCACCAGTCAACATGGCCCCCACACCATAGCGCCCTGCCACTTGGCATTCTCACACATTGGGTACCCTGAAAGTGTTGAAGAATGCAATAAAAGAGGATGGGTCCCAGGGGTCATTTGCAGAGCAAATGCTCAAATCACTCTTGAACTTAATTGCCCTCAAGACTGGAGAAACCTAGCCGGGGAGGCTCTTGAACCTGCAAAGTTTTTGAAGTGGAAGAAATTCTTCTATGATGAGTATGAACAGCAGAGGGGTCATAATCCACACCAAAAATATTTATCTCCCAATGGAGTGCTTGCAAGGAGAGGGAATCTACAGTTCCCCTTCAGTACAAGCTATCAGGTTTACCAATTTATTTCAATCAGGTGTAACTCTGTGCTTTGAGAGCCTGGAGGAAATTGCCATCTGGGGGAGGGACAGTTTCTATACAGAGGCTAAGGCAGAAAGCCACTGAAGACTTGTTGCAGTTTATTGACAGAGTAAACAAGGTGGTAGAAGGGAAAGTGTCTCATGAAGGAGCTAGGTTGGCCTTAGAGAAAGAATCTGGTATGTGTGTGGGGGGGCTAAATAACTTGCATAGAGCAGCAGTGGTGCCAGTATAAAATAGCATGCTTGATGACTGGATTTTGGCCACCCAGGACATAGGGACATAAGCAGCTCAAGCCTCTCTGCTGGCCTCAGCCATAGCATTTGCATAAAAGTAGGTCTAAGGAGGCCTGCAGACAACTAGTTTTATCCCACTGGCCTTTTACAACCTGCTGAAGTGAATCTCTGGGTGTTAAAATCTATTGCTTTATGGGAAATGGATGTCACATTATGTACACTTTTGAAATTTAAAATATATTTATGTAATAATTGATATCTATTTAGGCTGTGTAATGGCCACAGCCTCCACAGGAGAAACCACAAAAAAAGGTCATCTCCCACCAACTTAAATGATTTGGAATTATGGATGTTCCCATGTCTATTAAAACTGACAATGTGCCAGCCTATATTAGCAAAACATTTCAGGCAGTTTGTGATGATTGGCATATACAGCATTTAACTGGGATCCCCTATAATCCTCAGACTCATGGCATCATAGAAAGAACACACAAGTAATTAAATAAAAAACAGAGGGGGGCACTATACCAAGTCCCATGGTGATGCCTTGAACAAAACCTAATTTGCTTTAAATTTTCTTTCAGTTTCAAAAATTCTACAGAAACAGCATAAGCATTGGCCCCCTCACAGGGTCCTCCCATCTATGGATGGTCTTATGGAAGGATTTCATAACAAATGCATGGGATGGTTCAGGGCCCCTCCTTTGAGGGTTTGCATATGTTAACAGGAGCCTCAACCCATCTGGGTGCCTGTCAGAAAGTCCAGTCTTAGACACCCACAACTACCAACCAAGAAGATGAAGGAACTAACTCCGGAGGAGAAACCTCACAATCAAAGAACTCAACAATGCAAACGGATCTCATGTAAAGTAATCTGTGGTGATAAAAACAAAATGCAAAAACCAAAAACAGTGGCATATGCATGTAATCCCAGTGCCTTGGGAGGTTGAGGCAGGAGGACTGTATGTTTGAGACCAGTCTGGGCAACTTAGTGAAACACTGCCTCAAAATGGAAAATAAAAAGGGCTTAGTATTTGGTTCAGTGGTTGGGTTGGGTGCCTTGGAGTTTCATCCCCAGCAATGAATACTAAAAAAATAAAAATAAAAATAAATAAATAAAAAGAAAAGGAAAATGTCAATGTAATAGACTGCTCAGTTGTTAATTCAATAAGTAATAACAGCTAGTAAATATTGTGTAGTAAATTTTACACTTTTTTCAGAAGGAAATTATTTTTTTTTTGGAGGGATAGGAATTACATGCTATTTAATGTTCACAATTACATGAATAATTGTATATTTTGAGCAGTAATACTGTGGCATCCTAACAAATCCCCTTACTTTCCTAGGTTTCCTCTACATTATGCCTGAAGCACCAGGCTCTTTAAAGAACAACTGTCATTTTCACTTCTGTGATAGTGACTACAACACACCACTGATTAAGGTAGATGTAGCTAAGGATTTCTGCAGGAAATTAATTCAATTAAAATATTTAAGATAAAAATTGATTAATGTAATTTAAATATATCTAATTAGTGTAACCTGTGGACTATTTATCTTGAATTCCTGAAATTTACAATCTATTTCTTGGTACAAAGCCAACAGGTCATCCAACAACAGGAAGGGGAATATGAAACTATTTTTCCAGAAAATGGTACTGATCTAAATATTAGGAATTATAGGGGTGAACCTCTTCTCCACCATGCTCTCTCTTGCCTATTTCCCAAGTGACCTGTGTGGAACACGAGTGCCTAATATTGGTGTCTGGGATCCTTATACCATAAATAGAATCAAGAGGGTTTTTATAACAGAGAGGAAACTTCTGTGTTATTGGAAAGCTCTTGAAACTATCTCCCTGCTACACTAATTCCCCCAAATATGAATGTTTGCTATGAAAAAGTATTATCAAATAGGTGTTAGCAATGGTAAATGATTCTTTAATATTAGACACATAATGCACAGTTTTATATTTCTTTGATAATTCTTTGATTCATTAATCAAGGATTTTTTTCTGATGAGGCTTTGTATTTCTGGAAATGTTGACATTCTTTGGAATACAGATTGACAATCTATGCTCTAGATATGAAAGTTTAGTTCATTAATTCAATAAGATACTTAAATCCTTTTACTACTATGTTTTAGGTTTTAGAGTTATTGAGAATAAAGTTATAGTTACTGTCCTCAAGAAGGTTTTGGTTTAGATGGGGAGAGCAATTATTTAACTCTGAGACACCATGATAAAGGCTATGACAGCGGCAAAGATTCCTGGGAGGAGTAAACATTGAAGCAAGTTTTGGAGATGACTGGAGTTCATGTGGCCACTCTAGGCAGAGGAGGGCTTTATAAAGTGAAAGAGCAGCTCATGTGGAAGTGCAGGGTGGTAGAAGGAAGGGGCTTTTCTTCATTTACCTTATATATTGTATGTTTGTGTTCATATGGTCTGTTATAAGATTTTCAGTTCAACTGAGAAATAGCAATTTGGTTAATAAATTATTTTTGTTTTCCAGAAAGACCATACACTACTTTTCCTTGCTCTAAAGAAACACAAACAGCAGATGGCAGAATGTTTAATTCAGATGAAAGCAAATATACATGCTGTCGATAAGAAGGGAAGGTATAGTATAGTCTGATCTTATTTTTTTTAAAAAAAGCTTTAACGGTGTGGTAATATTCATTCAAATCTGAAATATTAAATTGGAAGAAGAATGTTAAGTTATAATTATTAGAATAATGTGAGAAATATAAGCACAAACCACCTTTTATGTCGAAAGGCAATTACTTGAACTGAGCAATAAGACAAAGATATGTATATAGTATGATTTATTCTTTATAATATTGCCTGATGTTTTTTATTTGTAATTGGACTTTGTTGGACACTTGATCTTATGTTAGCCAAAGAGGTTTCATTTAAGTTTGTAAGTTATGGACTTTTCATTTATTTTTTTATTTAACAATGAACTTCTTAACCTTTCTGTTGTGTTTTTAACTTATGCTTCTTATATACTTTCCCTTTTAAATTGCTATATTAAGAAAAAATAAATATTGAAAATAATTTTTTCATTTGTATGATTGTTTAAATTACTTCCTTTGGAGTGATTGATGTTAAGTTATCCCTCAATGAGAATAAATTCCAAATGCCAGATGCTGTTCTTTTTCTAATGTATCTTGATACTTTTGTTTTTAATTGGCATAGGAGGAGAAAAGAAAAATAGGTTTATTGGAATAAACATTTTCTTTAATGAATATTAAAAACATATAGATGTCTAATGAAGAGAAAAGAGACTTTAGATTCAGATTCACACATGACTGGGTTGTCTTCATAGACATCCTAGTTGCAATGTGTGTCACCTTGGAAATATTACTTATCATTAAATATGTTTCCTGATATGAAAAGGGGATTAAATATATGCTTGATGAGTGATTATAAGATCATACATATAACATTGAGTTCAGCATCTAGAAAATGCTTATCCATGTTTTTAATTGAAGCAATGATGACTATTATAATTAGCAGTATTATTAATTTAAGAATGCACATAATCTTTCTTACTTTACCTTTAGCTGACTGTGCATTACGATATATTACATCAGACTAGGGGAGAAAATGAGCATTCTTTATTAAAATATTTCCCTACTTAAGATAAATGACCTCATCATTGTTATTGTCCATCAAAGGATTTTAAGTTTCT